TTCCTTAGCGCAGCAATGTGAGCAGTACCCTCGCTGGCACTCTCGTGCATCACTTCATTGAGCCCCTCAGGACTACCTTCAATGTAACCCCCGGTCAGTGCAGTTCACGCTAATCAGACAGCTAGGACTCGCTAGCAGAGAACCGACCGCTCATCCGAAGAAGACCATGATAACTGCAATCTCGATTGTATATTGTCAGTGAAGCGAGTGTGTCACAAAACGACGGCAATCTTGCTACTCTGTCCAGAGGCATCGACCAACACTTGTCCACGACCCTCCTTCAAGGCATATTTAACCTTGATCGCCTGCGCGTTTTGTGTCCCAGCCTTCTTCCTTTTGATAGTGACCGTCGCACGCATGGCCGAAATCACCCCCTTCCCTTCTCTCGTCGCCCGCACCATGCACACTAGCTCGCGGCTGCACTCACTCCGAGGACGGAAAGATGGTACGGCCTTCTGAAAGCAACAACTCATACCCCGCAGAGGGAGGGGTGATCTTGTCACTCCCTCTAGGTGAAGCTAGCGTCAACCAAACGAGTCACTCAAGTAACCCTCTCTCACTCTTGATCTTGACTACTTAGCGTCCCTGGTGAGAACGCCACAGGAGGACACCTCTCAACGCGCAACACTAGTCGGATAGGTGACGTCAACGAGTAACGGAGAGAGCTTGTACCCCCCGTCTTCTCGTAGCCGGCCGCATTTCTCATTCTTTCTCTCTCTCTCTGTCTTTTTTCTCGGCCGTGCGTTGACCCCTTGGCTTCTTCGCTTAGTGGTTCCTGTTCCTCTGTCTTCATGAACTGGCCTCTGGGCCGTCCTCCATTGATCCAGCCGGAGGGTGGTCCCGTCGCCACTGGTCCAGACCGTGCCAGGACTGGGTCGTGGCCTCCAAATCACTCGCGTCGCTCTTCGCCTCCGTGTCTCGATCTAGGTGCCGCTGCTCGCGTTCAGCAGTGTCTGTAGAGGTCTCTTCCTCGTGGTACACAATTCTTACCTTTATCTCGTCCGTCACACCGTCCCTCCTGCACCTCCTCTCGACACGGTATCTGGCCTCTGTAATAGCCAGTTGCAAGCCTTGGTCCACCCTCATTTCCTCTTCTTTGCCCCCCTCGACGTTAATTTTCAGCCTCGCCTCTTGATTACAGCCGATGTAGTCCAGAATTGTTGTTACGGTAGGCCCTTCCTCGGTCATTCGCTCCCATGTCTAGATAAATTGGAGGTACTTAGGCCTGTAGCCGTAGAGCCCGCTGCTCCGCACCATGGCTACGATCTCTCTATCAACAGGGCCACGGTACTCAGGGTACGCGCACTCAGTCTCCCCCTTCCTTTCTCGCGAACACCGCTCCTCACTCGTAACTCCTTCCACCAGTCGCTAACACGGCGAAAGCCTCTGAATACCTTCCGCAAACCGTAGGCGAGGACTCATTTGCCTCGTCCTTTATAGGCTTGCCACTCATCCCGACCCCCACGTTCTAAATGAGGAATTCAAATAATTAATAAAAGATTAAATCAATTAATCTATAAGAAAAATTAGGAAAACCGAAGCTCAACGGCCACGAACCAGACACACCGTGTTACTATCAGTCACTAACTCTGGTGGTATGACTACAGGCCTAAGGCGACGGTCCGATAATGGGATACCAACCGGTCACCCTTCTTTCTTTAAAACGCGCCATCGGAATTACCCCTAATGGGTACCCATGTCCGATGGCAAGGAGGGGGCTTATGACTCTCCACGGGGGGTGATAAGCCTCCTACCAAGGCGGCCGCGGGTTGTCTCTCTTTTGGGGCTCCATCGCGCGGCGCTCAGTCGGACAGATCAGCCACAGAGATATACGAAGCGCCGGGCCGGTCTAGGCCATAGAGTCACAATCAGAGTTCGTAATCGAAACGTTTACTCCTCGCGAAGCGACGATGAGCCGAAAGAAACAACCTCTAAAGAGCAAGAAAAGGAAGGGAAATTATAACGCCACAACGGCCAGAAATCGCTAGATCATCCCAAAATAGGGCGAGTGTCCAGATCGGCGCACAACTCTGAAGCAAGACTTCCTTTCACTTTTATTTCCTTCCCCCTTTTCTTTTCTTTAATCCCCCTTTTTGCATCTGGCCCATAACCCGACTAGGGGGCACCCGGCGTAAGATCCACCCCTCTCTACTTCTCCCTCCTCCTCCTCCCTCCTCCTCCCTCCATCATCCCTCCTTGTCCTTCTTTATCCTCAATTCTAGTCTTTGTCATCCCTCCTCTTCTCCCTCCATGCTTGCTCCTCCGACCCATTTTCCCCGTTTCCTGTTTTTCTCCTTCGGTTGTTTCCTCCCTTTGCTGTGATCAATCCGTTTGGAACAAAAGAAGAGATCCGACACCACGGAGTAAGAAACGCAAATCCATCGGCTCTTGTCCCTCCGTTCTGGTCCTACTCCCTTCTTCTCCTCTTCCCGTTGTCTTCTCTCTCTTCCTCCCCTCTCGTCCTTCATCATCCCTCAACCTGCATGCATGGTGATCATTGAGAAGTGAGAAAAAAAAAACAAACACAGTCGAAATTTCAACAAAGCACCCCCCTCCTCTTTCCCCCATCGCCGTGTGCGTGTTGTGTGTTGTGTGTCTGCGTGGCCCAATCGGGGGCCCTCCTCCCTCCATCGCCGGGGTCATCGCCATCCTCATGATGGTCGCTGTCATCGTCATCAGGCCTGGGGTCACTCCTCCCGCCTCTGCCTCCATCCTCAATCCTACTCCTGCCATCTTTATTTTGCGTGAGAAAATAAGAATAATCATTCAATAATGGTAATTCATAACAGACGAAGTCGGATTATCTGGTGAGGATTTAATCCTAGATAACACATCAGGGGATCAATCTTAGATGCTGCATCAGGCCAGATCAGAGAAGTTGGAGAGAACTGACCCGATCCATCGTATATGTGATGAGCCTCGGGCCGGCGAGCTGGTGTGCACTGCACATTTTATAACCTTTCAGCGTTGATACGAGTTGCTACTTGACTGGTGGCGAGTGACACCTGGAAAATGCCACGTGGCGCTTGTAATTATTGCAATGACGTCAGCAAGCAAGCAATCAAACACACACACACACACAATCACGTAGTGGCAGAATCCCACTCACTCTGGCTGGTCAATCAGGAACAATATGTAGATGTGCACTCTTGAGGGGATCTTGACATGTCTAAAGTCCACATCTTGATTATACTTTATCAGCAAGTAAAATAAACGCAGTAGTGGATGTGTGCGTGTGTGTGCGTTTCTTCATGGCAGAAAAAAATGCATGACATGAAGAGAGGGGTAGAGAAAGGGATTTACATGTGGTTTGATGCATGGCAAGCAGGGAAGGAGTTGGGTGTTAAACTAACCACGGAGTTCAGAGGATTGGGCAATGGCCATGTGAGTCAGACAGAAGGTGTGAGAAAAACTAGTGAAGAAGGCAGAGACAGAGTGAGAGAGAGAGCAAGGGAAAAGGAGAGGGAGAAGGAAGGGAGGGGGGGGGGAGGGGGCATGAAGGAGAAGGGAGAGAGAGAGAGTCAGGGAAGGAGAGTGAGGGCAAGGGAGACTTTCTATTGACTGTGCTTACTTCCATCTGCAATCAAGTATGTGTAGAACAGGCGTCGAAGACCATCATTGTTGAAGATGAACTGCATCAGCAAGAGCTCTGCTTATGTACCACAATTGTGAACCTCGCTGCTCAAAAGCAATTTTGAAAAGGGCTGCAACATTGGTCGTGAACAGCATCAACGAGACCCCCCGCCCAATCCCTTCTCAAAAATGTTAACTTTGTGGGAAATGAAGTTGAAAGCTGACGTTATACGTCGCATCACATTCCCCAAACTGTGCTGCAATGAACTCCATGGGAATAGGCAGAACTATAGATAACCCATAGACTCTGTCAAAGGCTATTTGCTGAGACGATGCAGTAGCTTCTTGTCCCACCCTTCGACTTGTTCAGCCAAGCGTCTTTAGGCCCGGACCAGAAACAAAACCTCCGCCCACAGACTTGTTTGTGCAAATACATCTTGTGTCTCAGCAAGGGTTTGGGTCCTCACCGTCTTGAGCCCAGAAATTGTCCTTTGTGTCTCAGCAGGACAGGATTACATGGGCACCCACGTTTGCTTTTAGTATCGAGTGGGCCAAGTTATTTCTTCCCATGCTTTATTCAATTCTAGATGCTGCTTGGAGGTTGTGGCAGTTCTTTAGGGGTTCCCTTAATGTATAAGAGGGCTTATGAGTTGTAATCATTGCCCTTCATCGTCTCAGATAAGGCTGGTTCTCTGTTCTTCTTTTCTTACCCAGGGTCCCCAGCATTCGTTCTTACCCTGTAGCCACCGTGGCACTCCAGTTCCATCTAGTACACTTGGGTTGCTGAACCAGGTTGACCTGGGTTGGCCCCCCTCCTTCCTCCGTAGTCTTTGAACTCTTCTGACACCTCTAGCTTCAAGTCCTGAGATGCCTGAGGATCGATTGGCCATGCTTTCACAGTTTAGTTTGTGAATTCCAGTTTCTGTGCTGGAGAGTCTTCTCCAGTTGCTGATCATCTGACCTCGGAACACAGCGGCCTTTCCTTGGCACTGACTGCCCTTGTTTTTTTTTGTTTTTCTTTTTTCTTTTTTCTCTTTCACAACAACTGACTACTCTTGTTACCTTGTCTCATCTAGTGAACTGATAGTGAAAGATTTAGCAAAAAATTCACATGGGACATCATCTTTCTTTACCTTGCATGACTCTAATGGCACTCATCACCTCCTCCATGCGTGGGTCGTTGGCATTATCATCGACCAGTGTCACAATGGTGACCAGAATGCTCCGGGCAAGAGTCAAGACTCGAGGAAGAGTTGGGATTAGGGTGATGGATGTGACTGATGATCTTGTGTACTGATGGATGTGACTGATGATCTTGTGTACTGATGGATGTGACTGATGATCTTGTGTACTATGTTATTTGCTAAGTTCATCAAGAGATATGTTTTGAATCTTTGATGCATACCCTTTGTTTGATGTACCTCCAGGATGCAGATGCCGAAACGCTTGAATCATTGAAGTCAGAGCCTGAGATTGAAAAGGGGAAAGGGTTCTCTCGTTGGTGTAAACGCTGTAAGTGACCTGCTGATCTCTTAGATCTATTTCTTGTGCCTTGGGCGAAACTGCTTGCTGCTTAAAAGTTGATCCGGGGGAGATTGTCAGTAGGCTGCTCTGCTTAGGGAAGCAAATTGCATGGCCAAGTACAGTCGGTCAATCTCTTCGGTTCAGCTCTGGAAGGCAAATGGCTGAGCACATCAGCTGAGGAAGCTTCAACTTGTGCAAGTAACAATGCACCAGAACGACGCTGGCCGGTGCTGGGGGGTTGCCCTGTAACCTGTTGATAGCAGGAGCGTGAGGCCTGGTAGAGAGATCTGGGGATGCCTTGGGCCGGGCATTCCAAGGGAAAACCAAGGGTTGCTGTCGGGACGACGCTGGCCGGAGCTGGAGTGAGTCGTGTTGCCTTGTAACCTAGCAGGGTGGGGGCATGAGGCCTGGGAGACCTCGGCAGGGAATTCGACAGTGTTAGAGAATTTTAGAGTGTTTTGTCGGGGAGTCCAGGGGTTCTGAGCATTCGAAGGACTTTTGTGGTAATTGCTGCTTGAGTTTATCCACGTTCTTCCTAAATCTTCCTGTTTTCAGATTGTTCTTAGCCGAAGCCAGGGAATGGCCCTGGTATTTCAAATCATTTGTATATTCTACATGGGGCGCTGGGCCCGGTTCCCAGCATGTGTTGCTCCCCATGAATAGATTGGAGCATTTKTCCCAAAAAAAAAAAAAAAAAAAAAAAAAAAAACACAATGCACCTCACTTCCCAATAAGAATTACAGAGAGCAAAAACAATCAAACAAATAAATAAATAAAGAATTAGAGAGAACATCCGCACAAATAGTTGCTGAAGAGTCTCCAGAGGGACAAGATCAATTCAGGTATCTTGCATCATCCTCTCCTTGCCTTGGTTTCTGTCTCTCTCTCCGCTTCTTCTGAATCATGTACAGGTGGCCTGGCTACCTGACATGGACAACTACATCCCCTTAGAAGTCCTGCTTGTTGGGAGTCATGTGGATAGCACCATTCCAGTGCCGTCCACCATCCTCTCTCTTCCTTGGTCTCTATCTGTCTCTCCAACCCTTTTGAATCACGTGCAGGTGGCCTCCGCAGCCGACATCGACATGTTTCCATGTTTGGCAGCATGCAGGGAACGGGGTGCATGACACTAGAGGCTTTGGAAAGTCGTGTTGCTGTCCAGGCATGCTGAAGTGGCTGGAAAGCTCTGCGTATTCTTTCATAATAGCTCTGCCGTTTGTTAGGTGCGCAGCACCTTATCAACACGATACCTGTGAGGGCTCATTGCCTGAGACCACTAGTACCTCCGCCAGTGTTGGGGAAAATGGAAAAACTTTAGAACTGGCAGTTTTCCCAAACTCCTAAAAAATTGGAGGTCGGGCCCGATGATGGCTGCCATTGATAAATCTGATCGGCGGCTGTCGTTTCGTTTCGGCCTCCTTAAAGGTCGGAGGCCCACCCGAGGCCCGCTATTTTCCCACTTGGCAAAGGTACTAGTGGTTTAAAGCATTCCAAATTGCACACCTCTTGCGGGATAGGGTAAACAGCCCAGTGACCCTGCCTGTCCACTGATCGCAGGCTAAACAACTATGAGGGCTGCCGTGGGCTAGTTGTTAAACTGTGCATCTTTCCTCCTCGTATTAGCACTACCAACTTCACCTGCCTGCATAGAATGTGCAGTCGTTACCGCTGCATTTGGGGCAAATTCAGTCTAGGTACAGCGATAATGACCAGGTGATCGGTTTGGGTGAAGACGGTAGTTTGGTCTTAGTGTAAACAGATAATAGTCCAGCTTGCGGACAGAATAGGCAATTGTATAGTCATACAAAAGGATGGCTTGCTTCTTGTCCTTAGAATAGACCGTGCCAATTGTGTAGTTGCTAGGGTAGGCTGCATAATCTTCCAGTATGAACGGTCCATCAGAGAATGAATATGTCGGATGGGTGGGTTGGATGGATCCTTGCAGGATAGATACCTGCACTCATGAATAGACAGATGCATGGAGGCATGGCATAGATGGATGGATTGATGGAGGCAATGCTAGAGGGATAGAGTGATGAATGAAGGACAGATGGAAGAATGGGCGGATGGGGGGATAGGGGAACCGATAGACCATTGGACTGATCGAAGTCATTTGATTGATTCCGTTAATCTGATTGATTTGTTTGGTGCTAGTGATTTGAAATCGATTTGATTGATTTGGCTGATTGCTCTGATTGATTGACTTTGGGTTGGCTTGGGACATGTGGTGTCAGAGATGGTGAGTACCAGAGCTGGAACTGGGTCTGGGTGGCTGCGGAACTTATTGATTGATATTGATTGATTGATTGATTGATTGTTGATTGATTGATCAGGGTCGTGGTGTATGTGATTCCGTCAGGATTTGAACTCATGATCTGTTTACTAGAGGTACATGTGTGTACCATCCAGCCACATTGGCTGGTCTGTTGAGGTGGTACTATCCTGAACCTATAGATACAATGTTATTTCAACTTATTTGTTTATCCGGGTTTTATCCCACTTTATTTATGGATTTGTTTGTTTGGGCATTTTCCATTTTCATTTCAATGGAGTCCATGAAGGGGTGTGAACTTTTACCTGCCCTAGGGTGGGATCCCACTTGCACGGGCTATAAGAGAGACTGGCCGTCAATAACGAAGATTAACACCCAGAATCTCTTAATTCTTTCAAGAGGGGACTCGCCCCTGTCACGGAATCGGTACATATTTGTTACTCTTCCAAACAGATCACGAGTTGGAATCCGGGTGGATACTATAACTTAGGGGCTACCCCTGTTTTTTTTAATAAAAAAAGTGGCATAAGAAGGAATAAATTCAATAAATGAATTGCTGGTCTTATCCTTTCTCAATCTGACAATCCTTGCTATGTCTGGACCTGGTGAGTTTCCCCGTGTTGAGTCAAATTAAGCCGCAGGCTCCATGCCTGGTGGTGCCTTGCTGGTCTGATGCGCGTCACTATGTTTTGGGAATTTGCAATTTTGATGTCCTTCTGGAACGATGTCCTTCACTTGCACTTTTTTCCTTCTGAAAATGCCAAATATCAATAACAGCTAGGGCCACGGGCATGGCGCACTCGTTCATTGCGGACCTAGAGCACGTGGAAATCAATAAATGAAACTTAAGGAATCTGTCTGCAGTTCCTCTCCAGGCTCGGTTCCATTCGGCCTATTTACACCATATCTTGCTGTCCTCTTCATACGAGGCCATTGTGTGCATGCAGATCGTGGAAATCCAAGTTTGTGAAAGCAGCCCACTTAACCAGGGTTACTAAAAGAAGCTGATACGAGTTTGATTGATCCCCACCCTGCCTTCAATTCCTGGTGCTGTCATGTTGTGTCTTCATCGTTGCCGCACTGATAATGTGTGTGTTCCTTTCCTCGTCTGGCTCTTGCAGGCAAGAAGGTCAAACCGCCTTTGACTCATCACTGCCATGTGTGTAGAAAGTGAGTAGAGTGTCTAAAGACTCTAAACCCTTTCGGTAAAGGTGGTTCTCTTTGCGTGGAGGAAGGATTCCCCTCTGTTCAATGGGAGGAAATCGGAATGTGTGTGTGCCTTTCTGCAGTTGTGCAGCAAACAGCCACCTGCTGTTCACAGACTGCAAAACCTTCATACCCATGCTTGCGAAAGCCACTCTCATGAACAAGATGTTCAGAAGAACTTCAAATGAATTCATCTCCACAACGGCGGAGAACAAGATTCAGAAGTTTGTTTGTTTTGTTTCCACTCTGTTGAGTTGTTTGTTACGATCTTGGCCAATTCGAAGTATACAAACATCAGAAAGTACAATGCCGTCCAATTGCAAAAAGAAATGAATGAACTTGAGAGGAGAGAGAAGGAAAGAAGAAGAAGAAGAAGTAAGAAAGAAGAAGAAGATGTACTCCAGCATAGACCAATGACAAGGCTCTTCTTCCTCACCAACCAATCTCCTCCTCCTTATCTCCTCCCCTCTTATTCAAACAAGAAATAACAATAATAATGTTGAATGGCTGAACCAGAATCAATGTCCGAATCCCACATCTCCACCATAGCCATGTCCACCCTTCCTCTCCCTCTACATACGGGCCGAGGCTATGCTGGAGTACTGAGGGCTCTCCCTCCAACCCAAAGCAGCTATGCCGCTGCCCTTCTGTCCCCAGGTCAACTCCATGCAGCTATGCCGCTGCCCACTCAACCGCGATGCCTGACTCTGTCCCGAGCTTCCTTGATGCGGCACTACCCCCACTGGGGCCTTCCAGATGCAGCGCCTAACAAGGTGATGAAGATGGTGTCTACCATAGCCAGGTAAGTACCCCACCACTCTCCTCCTTGGTCCCCTTCTCCCTCCTCCTCCTACTGGTAGAGCTCCACCATAGCCAAGGTGGAAGCTCCCGGCTTCTTCCTCCCAGCAGCGCTGCAGTACCCAGCGCCACTCCAGCCAGCGCTCCAGCAGCGTGTCGCCAAACTTGCACACTGAAGAATGAGGCCGAGCTCTTGCCTCGGCCTCTTGATATAGCGGCCTGCTTGCCTCCTGGGCGGTGACTTCCAGGCCGCTCAGCCTCCCAAGTAACCGGTACCTCTTCCCTTTCGGAGGGAAATATCATTGCAGACTCTGATATTGCCCGTACAGGCTCTAGACTTGGACTGGATGGAGTGGTACCGGCCTAGACCTAGCCTACCGCTACTGGGCCTCTAAAAATGCCAACTTTGTCTTCTTCTGCTCGGCCTCGAGTACCCGGCACATCTACTGCTACTGGGTGCGGTTCCGGCCTACCTGCTACTCGAGTGTTTTTCCACTGCTCTAAGCACCGTGGGCCCCTGGCTCCGCTACTTGAGTGTTTCCCTGCTGCAACCCTCAATGCCACGGCCACAGGTAAGCACCGGCCCTACGGGTCTGCCAAACAAGCAAGTACCCTTGCGGGTCACACACACACTTCATGCCGAGAAGCACTCAGACAGGCACGCAAGTCCACAGGCACGCACACAACAGACTTAGAAAACACAGCAGAATGCAGGAATCTCGGCAAGGCATCCATTCCATCGGCAGAACTTCAGAAATGAGCAGTGTTCTCAGTCTGTGTTATGGCGGGTCATTACATGTTATTGTATTTCAGTTTCGCAGAATAATTTTTGTTTATTAAATGCATAAATAAATTATTTGAACTCCTGTCCTACGGGATATGCGTTAAAATTGGAACCATACAGAGAAGACAAGAGTGGCCCCAGAGCAAGGATGACGCACATAACTCGAGAAATGTTTCAAATTAATAATTAAAAAAAAAAGCCAAACTCCTTGAGGGCATGCACATGGGATCACACTGACGGCAAAGCCGCCTTCTTTCAGAGACAGCAAAGCTCATGCCTGGCATTTGAGGCAGGCCAAGTGATAATCAATACAGGACAATTGATAATGCAATCAGACTCGTTCTCAAACATACTTTTCATGCATGTAAACAGCAACGCAGCATACTGGCGACATGCGCCCACTCAAAACTCAGAGATATGGCTTTCAGATA